TGCAAACTTTTACTGGATTTCAATAGTTGCTTCTCTCATCTTTGGCACCATATTACAAGTTTTTGCACCTTTTGTCTTCTTCTTCTTCTTCATTTTTTTTTTTTCTAATTGGCTTTTGATTCTAGCATTAGTCAATCCTTTTTTATTGACCCACTGAGGATCAAATACCACTTAGTTATCATCTACATGCATTTCTATTGCAACAACTTCGGTTAAGCTTTCTAAGTCTTTTTCAATCAACTCCAAAGCCTCCATTAATTTCATCTTCACAATTTTAGTCCCCTCAATACTGAGTGAACCTTTATCAGAAACATGGTGACCAAGGTGGTTCAACTCACTAAAAGGTAAAGGGGAGTAGATTTTCATTATCAAAAATTGAATCAACCGATTCATAAACAACCCCCTTTTATGCATTCTTTGTCCATCTTTACATGATATATTGAACTAGTATCTCATTCATATTATTCACAACAAGTACCCTTAAAGCATGGGGACACAATAACCCCAAAGTCTCAAATTACTTGCAAGTATAAAAGATACTCAAATCAGATTTATCAAACTCCACTTTCAAGACTTTTTGAACATTGCTTGTCAAGTTCATATAAAAGTCTTGTCTTCTCCTTTTCTACCTCAACACAATTCAGGCCTAAACCCTTGAAAAACTCTTCTTTGAACATTTGAAGCACTCTTATTGTGTAGATAGTAATAGTATGTCTCAAAATTCCTCCATGACTAATCAAATCAACAAAGGAACCATTTTTGCAATGGAAGTCTTCATCTCGTTCTCGTTGATGCATATCTTTTGCCTTTTGTTCATAATATTTAATAACTTAAATGAGAGTTAATGAGGTAGGCAAAATTTGATGAAAAAACTATTCATACTCTCACTTCTTTGAGTAGATTTCATTCTAGCAAAAAAAAAAAAAAAATCTACATTCAATGCAGGACACCATTTTTCTTGAGTCTCATATAACCTATAAAGAAACAATAAGGCTTGCAAATTAACATGGGTAATTAAAAGAAATAAAGCATGCTAGTGATGTCTATTTCTTCTTCTCTTTTAATTTGCATTCTTAAAGAAATAAAGCATGCTGGTAAAAAAAAAATAAAGTTATAATAAAATACCTATTAAAGCCACCCATTATTCTCGAGATTGAAGGTCTTGATCATATCATTCCAAGTGGATTGAAATTCCATTTCATCCAAACAATCACTAAGGCACTTATGACATTTTGAATTGAAATTTGGATTCCCATAAATTCCAACAAGATGTTTCTTGGCATTATTATAAAGATGCCATAAATATAATTGATGACGTGATTCAGGGAATATTTTCCTAATAACATTTGCCATTGCTCAATCTTGATATGTGAAAATACTCTTAGGTTGTCTTCATCCCATAGCTTCTAAGAATATCTCAAACAACCAAAAAAAAAAAAAAAAGATTCAATAGTCTCATCGACAAGAAATGCACAACTAAATAGCATGTTCCTCCAATGATGATTAATTCCAACAAAGGGGCACAAATTAAGTTGCATTGATTAGTCCTATAAGTAGTATAAAAAATGATGACATCTCCACATGAATCATAGTCCAACTTTGATCTACCATCCCTTCAAAAGAAAATTTTCATTCGATTTTCTTGGTCTACTTGCACTGAAAAAAAAAAAAAAAAAATCTTCAACTTGTTTATGCTTGAAATGATTTACAACACTTTGACCATCCCCTACTTCAATCATCACTTTTCTCATAGAATGCAAGTAATTGTGGCAATCCTTGTGAGTAAATCCAACATGGCTTATCCCATCTAATTCCTTGGCCAAGAATAAGTATGATTTTGTTGGTTTGATACCTACATTTACCATTGAACTTATTTACACCACCGTGTGCTTCTAATATCTTCCTTCCTTATCTTAAATTGTGCCTTTCTTCTTAATTTGCAAGTTCATGGTTGTGCACATCATTAAAGTGAGTAAGTAACCTCCCAAATTCCATTTGATACAATGAGTTGAATCCTAGCCTTACATTCGTTTTTGTCTCTAAATGATTAATCTTTTTCACATTACAAGAATCTCCACCCCTACAAAACCGTTGCTTTGAACATATGTATTCTCGTTGTCGAAGAGTACCATCAACAAACTACATGTTCCTTTTCCTTATACTGAAACCCTTTGATAAAGCATATTGATTGTAAAGATGATATTCTTCTTCTTTGGATTTGACTTTTACACCAACTTTAAGCTTATCATCAAATTTAGAATAACTTTCAATCTTAGAAGCCATAAAATATATTTGTAGAGAAAATCATTTGTAATTTTAAAAAATGAAAAATTTTATTATGTCTATTATAAAAAATTACAAAAACAAGAGCATAAATCCAATTCATAATAGAATTGCCTAAAGCATACGGTAATGGAAAGAAAACCTCCTCTTGGAAGAGAATCAAGAAGATGAAGAAGGCCCACTTTTGATTCACAAAAGAAGAGCAAATTAGATGGAACAAGGAAAATCTTCAACATAAATATCTTTATTTCCTCTTTGTTAGCTGGTGGATGAGGTGTAAAAAAAATGTTGATGTGGTGGTTTTTAGTTGGACGATATCCTAGTGATACCCTAGACTTTCTCCTAACTAACTAACCGCGGAATAAAAATAGAAATCCTCCCTAACCCCCTTTTTCTCCATGGAATCTTCTCTAACCCTCTAATTTTGTTTTCTCTCAAATTCATCCATAAGTAACATAATCATGATCGACAGGCAAATAAATGTACCTTCTTTTTAGGGGTACATAAT